CTGCAGAACTATAATTATTGAAACTAAAGTAGAACATCAAATACCAAATCCAAAATATAAGAGAACACCATAAAAATATATGAAACGTTAGATGACTTATGCCGATGTCCTCAGGCAGTATAATCACTTTATTGACATCAAATGAGGAAAATTACCCATCCATTTGAGTTCTTAGAGAGACACCTATAAGAATGTTAATCCAGCTGGGAAAATCTACACAGGTCAGAGGGAGTTTTAAATAGAGCAAGTAGACCATATGATCAAAACCCCGCCAATGCAAGACCCTTTGCAAAAAAAGGCTAAAGTGCGACTTTCTAACATCTAGCTTGGCAGGACCAAAAGAAAAAAAGGGAGGCTTCACATGATATAATGCCTCTTTCTCTATGCAAGAAATATTCATGGCCTATTAGAAGACATGCAATAAAGACGAGTCTAATTTCTGAGAACAATATTTTGACATGAGAGCATTTCTTGGAGAGATTCTAAAAACTCCATCATATTCCACAAATCAAAAGTTCAAGTCTCCTATATATAGTTCATATTATTCAAATCTATATCCAAATTTTCTTTTATATACACATAGATGCCAAGATTCATATGAAAGATCAATTTAGACATCTAATCCAAACACAACTAGCAGAAAAACCTTGAAATTGAATTCATAAACAGAAGTTAACTCTACCCAACAAAACAAAGCCTTCACCATAAAATGAACCCATGAAAGTCAAGTATGATGCCACCATGGACAAAACAAGGTTTCACCATAAACAAAACTTGAGGGGTTGCTCAATTGGTCAAGTCTTGGGTTTGCTCCCCAATGGTCACCAGTTCGAGTTCCTCAGGGCCACTGAGATGAGTACCCAGCCGTAAACTTCATGGTCCCGTGGAATTAGTCGAAGTGCGCGCAAGCTAGCCCGGACATCCACGGTATCAAAAAAAAAAAAAAAGGTTTCACTATAAACAAGCACAACTGGTCATCATAACATATGGAGAATCCCATTTTCTGACAACTAAGTATTACCATTTAATTGAATTCTATCACCTAAATGTCAGTTGACTTCAAAACAACCAATAACCAACAGAACACAATATAGTACATAAACACAAATGTTCCAAGTTAATTCTTTTTCTTCCAACTCATGTGTCTAACCAATAATAGTTGAATTAAAAACCAAAATGAAAAAAGGAAAATTCTATTTATCAAATTCCTGATAGAAACATAGAATGTGAAATTAACTCAGTGGAGATACCCTGGGATCTTAATCCGAACAAAGAGCATACTCATGACATACGAAATCGCCACAGATGCAATCCCAGCAGATGCATACGACACCTTGACACTCTTGGCGCGGTTCTTATCAAGAGCCAGATCCAACAGCACTATCCCAACACCACCGAGAACGAACATGAACCCAGAAGATAACCCCTCTATAATATACTGCCCGTTGACCCGACCTGGGAGGAAGACGACAGGTCGGACCGCTCCAGTAAACCGGTCCTGAGTGGAGCCGATGCCAGGGGGCTCTACGATGACGTCGTACACGATCCCAGAGACGACCATGAAGTAGGTGAGGAGGATGAGGGAGTAGACAGTCATTGCGGAGGGGAGAGTGAAGGTGGGCAGCTTTAGCCGCAGACGAGGCGGGCGAAGGAAAGAGAAGGGGAGTACCTTGAGGATGTGGAAGATCGGATCTATGGAGTCGGATGATGGGTCGAATGGGGCGGCGCCGCCACCGGCGCCGGCATGGGTATCCGATTTGGCCGGCATTTTGGGTGAAACGGGGATGAATCTTTGGCGATGGATCTGGTGCGGGAAGAAAGGTTTAGGTTTCCAGTTAGGTATTACACTCAATGGTCCTTTAAATTTGGATTTTGTTTCAATTTAGTCACTCATCTTTAATTTATTGTAAAAAGACCACTCAACTTTATTTTGTTTTAAATTGTTCATTTTTCCTACACGCGTTGTTTTATCAAACTGTATGTATTTTTTCACATTGAACACGCAGTCGATATTTGTTACCCTAAATGCATCGTAAAAATGGCCACTTTTGCGAAGTCTTCCTAAATTACACACATTTCAAGTCCACCACTCGAACTTGATAAACGAAAGCGTTATTTTAGGATCTATATTTATTATTATATATATAATATTTTTTAATTACCGCATGAGTTTTGAACTTTTAAATATTTTCTCTAAAAATTGAATTAGGGTATGGTTAAGGCTTGAGTTATGCTTTGTTCCCTTTTTTTAGAGGGTGTTTGGTGGGGATCAAAA